ACAAATGTCCACATTTTACATATTTAACATTATATAAATATTTCTTACATAATTTTTATAACTTGTTTTGTCATACAAAAAATTAATGTGACACTAATTTCAAAACACTAACTGTAGATTTGATTCATCATTTTTGATAACTTTGTAATATATATGTCACATTTCAGAATTCTACCACTTTTTTCATGCCATTCCTAACTTCTGAAGTTTTTTCTGTAACTGTTTGTTATTATCAAATAAATGGGTGCACATCAATATATTGTATGGCTGTATGAACTATTTTTGCAAATTTAGTTTTTTCCTGCAAATCATCCTTGTACAAATGTTTTTTCAAATTTAGACTAATTCCTAGACTTATAATGCCAGAAACAAAGTGTACTCACATTTCAAGGCTTTTAAATCCTGTTATTGAAAATTCTTTCTAAAAGGTCATACTGATTTATATATCGAAGGAAGATTGTTTCAGGGCTTTCTGGGGAGCCCCATGATATTCCCAGGGATTGTGGAGAACACTGGGAATAAATAAATCAAATTGAGATGCAATAATGGACTATCTCTATGCCCACCTCGCCTCCTGCCAGGACCATTGTTCAGCCCTCCAGCTCTTAGCTCAGTAGGTAGAGACATACACAGTTCTGGTCACACCAAGTAGAATCCCTTGTTCTAGAATATTTATCTTTTCTTTCAACTCTTAATACTCTCTTCTTGTACAAAATACTGAAAAACAAAGTTTGACAAAATATTGAAACAAAACTGTACCAAAATTTCCATTTTGTCTATACGCCTTTGAAAGATTTAAAAAAATTTTAAGACTGCAGAGGTCATTTATCATATCAACTTTTAGTTAATGAGTCATCTTTAGAGGTAATTTTTCACATCAACGTGCATTGCTTTCACTTTGAAGTGGAGGGTGAGTTTATGTCAGATGATAATCAGGTAACAATCTAGATAACACTCATTATATTCTATCTTGTCTAAGCTGTATCTTCAAAGGTTATGCTTTCTACCAAAAATACAATTCATATAAACTTAATTATTTTTACAGTATTTCAAATAGCTATGTACATCACTGATTTTTACAGATGTAGGTCAGATCTACTCCTCTGAAGATATCCTGATCTAATCTCTCAAAAAGAGTAAGTGAAATCACAAAAGTTGTACTTACTCTTTTGAGTGTCAATAACAGCTTTCACTGGACATTTTAATGGCAATTTTCCTGCAGACAACTAGGAGGAGGGGA